GGCTGACATTCTAAATCATCCAATACGTACATTTTAAATCACCGAAAACTTACACTCTGAATAACACAATATACATTGTAAGTCACCCAACAGGTACACTCTGAAACACCCAATATGTGCACTCTGAATCACTCAATAGGTACATTGTTAATCACCCATCACGTATACTTCAAAATATCCAAACATTCTGAATAGCCCAATACTTACACACTGAATCACACAATATACATTGTAAGTCACCCAACTTGTACACTCTGAATGACTCAATACGTACACTCGAGTTACAAAATACGTACTTGCTGAATCACTCAATATGTGCACTCTTGTGAACACTCTTTTTTACATCACGTATACTCCGAAATGCCCAAGGCGGACATTCTGAATTACCCAACACGTACAATCCGAATCACACAAGACATACACTCTGAATCACCCAATACCTACACTCTAAATCACCCAATATATACACTCTAAATCAAACAATATATATTGTTAGTCACTCACACGTACATTCTGAAACGCCCAATACGTTCACTCTGAATCACCCAATATGTGCTGTAAGTCACCCAACACGTGCACTCTGAATCACACAATATATATTGTAAGTCCCCCAACACACACAATGTAAATCAGCCAATACTTACACTCTGAATCACCCAATACGTTCACTCTCTATAAAACCTGTATGTGCACTCTGAATCACCCAGTACGTACATTGTGAATCACCCAACACTTGCACTCTGAAATAACCAAAGTGGACATGCTGAATCATCCAACACGTACAATCTGAATCACATAAGACTTACACTCTGCATCTTTCATTTCGTACACTGTAAATCATCCAACAGGTAGAATCTGAATCACATTATATATATATATATATATATATATATATATATATATATATATATATATATATATATATATATATATATATATATATATATATATATATATTTTTTTTAAATCACCCAACATGTACATTCCGAATCACCCAGTATGTACATTCTGAAAAACAGAATGACTCAATACATACACTCTGAATCACTAAATAACTCAATACGTACACCCTGAATCACCCAATACATGCACTCAGAATCACCCAAAATATAAATCCTGAATCAACCAATATGTATGTGTACACTCTGAATAACCCAATATGTAAACTCTAAATCTTCGAATATGTATACTCAGAATCACCCAACACGTACACTCTGAATCTCCCAATACATACATTTGTTATCACTCAATATTTACTAAGAATTACCAATTTGTACGCTCTGAATCTCCTAATATGTACACTATGAATCACCAATTCATACACTGTGAAACACCCAACATGTGCATTCTGTATCACCCGAGACTTCACTCTAAATCACCCAATACATACACTCTGAATCACCCAGCACGTACGCTCTGTATCACTCAATGTACACTGTAAATCACCCAATATGTACATTCTGAATCAACCAATATATATATATATATATATATATATATATATATATATATATATATATATATATATATATATATATATATATATATATTCTAAATTTCTCAATATTTTTAATCTGATGTGTTACATTTTGTGTTGCACATAACCACTGAGACAAACCTTATGCTTGAAGAGGGTAGACTCCGATAGGTATCAACTTACGACAAGCCTTATGTTTGAAGAGGGTAGACTTCTAAAGGTATCAGCTTGAGACAAACCTTATGTTTGAAGAAGGTAGACTCCTAGAGGTATTAACTTACGACAAGCCTTATGTTTGAAGAGGGTAGACTCCTAAAGGTATCAGCTTGAGACAAACCTTATGTTTGAAGGTAGACTCCTAGAGGTATCAACTTACGACAAGCCTTATGTTTGAAGAGGGTAGACTCCTAAAGGTATCAGCTTGAGACAAGCCTTATGTTTGAAGAGGGTAGACTCCTAAATATATCAACTTGAGATATAATAAGGTAAGTGCACTGTATCTGTTTACATTTAGACATACAAACGAAGAATTTGTCAATACGGGTAAATATGTTATTGGAGAAAATTTGATTTCGAAAAGGGACATTTCTGTTAGAAAGAAACAAATAACAAACAAATGAATGAAGAAAGAAAAGAAGAATAGAGGAAAGAAAGACGAAAATATCACAAGAAAGAAAACAGTTAAGAAAAAGAAGAAAAAAATAAAAGTTTTGCATTCTTATCACTGATATAAATACATGTGTCTAAAAAATCGAAGTTTTCGTTATTCAGCAGATTAAGAATGGCTTGAAAATTCATACTCTCAGGAGTCTACAGAAATCTTTTCAATTTTCCACGACCTCAATTTTATTTCTTATGCGCAAGTATCGACATGTATTATACTTCATGGTATAATTACAACGAAAATGTATAGGACCTTGGACTAGAAACCCGTCAGATAGTCCCATGATCGACATTAGTAAATATAGCAATAATATACCATTGTAGTTAACAAAAGGCACATTGAATTGGATAGCATTATCGTGTAACTATAGACGTTATTCTCGCGCCTCGAACAACATAATCGGTGGTTTGAGGATTCAGTCATTTGTCCGAGATCAACAGATACAATATGACATCATCATAATATTTGGGAATTGTATCCATACATTCCAATAGGAAACCATTCGACTGCTGCTTTCTTTTGAAATTCGGACACGTAAAGAGGCATTCTGGAGAGATTTTTAGGTATAAACACTGTCCTTGTCGTGCCTTTCTGTTTTTGTGACATTTTGTTGTCTATGTCTACCTATACATGTGTCTGTCACCGTTACCATTTCATATGTACCAGTTTATATGTGTACAAATTTACATTCACATGTATAATTACGTATGAATGTAAATTTCGTCTTGCAAATAAATTTGCATCGGTATGTAAGACTTTATAATGTGTAAATTTGCACCGTCTCGGATATACTGTAACCGACAAAGAGATTTTGCATATGTGCATACATGCTATATATATATATATATATATATATATATATATATATATATATATATATATATATATATATATATATATATATATATATATATATATATATATATATATATATATATATATATATATATATATATAACTTGCAGCATCTGTTGAAATAAAGAAATATCCATGATTAGTTTTCAATTGGCTTCTTTAAATATTTAAAATATTAGCTCAAAACATGAATTATTATCGTCATTGTTTCTAGTAAGGCTCGGTGTGAACTATATGCCTGTGGATTCCTAGAAAAACAAAGTTGAGTCAAGGAAATATAATCGATTATGTATAGATGGATGGACAGATCAATGAACAGTCGGATGGGTGAGCGAGTCGATGACTGGGTAGGCTTTGTGGATGTTTAATATATCATTTGGCAGTTTAAAATTAGGTAGTAATGCATATGATTCATACCAAACCATCGGTGATTAAGAGCAAGACATTTATGTTTTTACAAGAAAAAATCATTGGATAATACCTCTTTTTATTATCCTTCCATCTTTGGAGTTAAAAAAATAAAATGGCTTAGGCCAAAAATAGTAACAATTTTAAAGGACACGGATGCCCTGCTAAAGTAGTACAACAGACTTAGATGACACGGACGCCCTGTTAATAGCATAACATCTTTAGAGGACACGGATACCCTGCTAAAATAGTACAACAACCTTAAAGGGTACAGATACCGATACCACACTATTACAACTAAGAAAATAAAAGTGTATACATGCAGGGCCATGTGCACGATTTCTAAGTCAAATATGGCTATATCACAGTCACATGTATCGAACTTGACCTATCTTGCATTTTAATAAAGACCAATACAATTGTTATTTCAGTCAAAGATGTGCTTCAATTATTATAGGATCCTAATGGAAATTGTGATTCGTTTACAGATTGCAAAGCTCTAGCGCCTAATATGCAAAAATCTAGTCAGACTTAGACGTGGCCAGTGTTTTTAATCTAGTTTGCCGTGAGACACGCCATATCGGTCAATACAACCTGATATGGATGGGAATTGAACTTGCATCCTTCTTGTCCCAAGAATGGTACACTAATCACTGAGACTGCGGTTTGCCTTGTTGACGTAAACATAAAAGATATGGATAGTAACATGTTGTGTTTAAAGACACCGATTGCATTGTAAGCAAAGAAATATAAACGTCAAAAATCAAACTAGGAATACATTTGGTGAGTCATTTTAAATTTCTTCAGGTAATAAATTTCGTGTGTGTATGTGTGTATGTGTGTGTTGTTGTTGTTGTTGATTCTAAAACAAAAATGGTCTACTCTCAAACATAACTTTTAAACAAATGTTTTGATGGATATCTAATTTTGTCTGCCAGTGCCTTGTTATACGGTTGTACATAGTGGCTGTGTGTGACTTTGTAGGCAATGCACTGAAATAGATCTGAAATCATTGTTAAAAATAAATTTTGGACAATTCATCTTACTTATGGCTATATTAGCAATACCAGAGAAATACATTGTACAGAAGTTGATAACGATAATACTAAAAGCAAATAGTAGAAGTATCGGTAGAAGTATTTATTTAGTATAGTTAACCAGTAAAATCAATCATCTTATCATCATCATTATCGCCATTTACATTTTTCTTATTGACGGCCCATACAATACTGTATACTAGCATCTTATGACGATTATAGGTTTAGTCGTAAAATCACATTATTATCCACACAAAAAAATGTTACTTGCATACCTGTCGTAAAACCCACATGAATGAATTACAAATTTGCTAATGCATACAAGTGTACATTTATCTATGCACAGTGTGCATATGTTGTGCATGTGAGTGGAGTATTTGTCTGGCATCATCCCATAGATGCTTCCAATAAACCGTACCTTCGTGTATGTAATGGTAATGTATCTAATTAACTACGTCATACGACTCCATAAAAGAAAATACTGTAATATTGTAAATCAGAACATTTTCAGGAGCATACAAGTTAAATAATAAATTTAACGTTTAGCAAATATTTCATCGCTCCTGTGGCCTAAGTGGTTGTTAGGTCGTCCTCCTCGGATGCGGGAGGTCGCTGGTTCGAACCCCGCCAAAGTCATACCAAAGCCATTTAAAATGGTACTAATAGTCCCAATGCTAGACCTTACTATAAACTGACACATTGCAGACAGCGTATCGATATGACTGAAACATTTTTAAAAGTACGTTAAAAAGCCAACACACACACACACCCACACACAGCAAATATTTTAGGACACGACATTTTAGTATACTCTACTCAGCCAATTTGTTTGTTTTTTCGTCATCTATTAAACGAATTTGGAAATTTACGTCTTAAATTCAAGATATCAGTGAAATCTATATAACCTTGGTATCGTTGAAAGAGAATGTACTTACGTTGCTTCAATGGCAATAATAAACACCAGCAACAACAACAGGATTATTAAACTGACACCAGTTTTTAAACTATTGAACCTGAAATCGTGCATATATTACAAAACAATGACCATACATTTCAAATTTTTGTTTTATCCAGATATAAAAACATATTTTGGTAAACTTTTTTTTTAAATAGTACATTTGGCAAAAAAAAAGATTTGTGTGAAGATCTAATTTAACTATAGTGTAGCCAATTATACTGATTACCTAAATAAAGTGATCACCTGTATGTGTGTATTAAGGACAGTTACACTGGTTATTATATTTTGATCATTTTGTTATGCCGTTTCACCTGGATTTTTTCAGTCACTTTTAGCATATTTACAATATTGTAGTTCAATTCATTGTAAATTCTGATTCATAAAGTGTGCTGTTTCAGACAGTTATGAATGAGCGCTTTGTTATATGTAATTGTTACCCGTAACGGTTCAAAAGTTCATTTACAAATAAGTACGACTTGTTCAAGTGAAGCAGGTCTTGCGAATTGCTGTTACGATGTGTTGTTGTTCACTGACGCTTAACAGACGTATTTGCTTCAACTGATTGTACATTTTGATTAAAAGGCTTGTTTACTTACGTATAAAGAGTATGATATCTTGTATTCGTTTTTAGAAATCACACATATTTTGGGTGAAGTTCATGTAACAGAACTGTAATGTCCTTGGTGGCAATCAATTGTACCAAGATAGCAAAGGCAATGCAGAAATATTTGAGTACCTTTGCACCCGAACGAGAAATGTTTGAACCAGGACCCTTATAACCAAAGGTTAGGGTGCATCTACACCAAAGCTAGAACCTTTGTGAACAAGAACCTTAAGCACCAAAGTTCACCGGAACTAATGATCCCTGAGCCCATACATAATATTATAGTTTCCTTCTTCCCCACCCTGATAGATAAATAAAGAATAAATGGAAACATATAGTGAACACCCATAACTTGCACAACTATATATACTAACCATATTAACACTGCATATACAAATAACAAGATAGATATACATGAGTAATTAGTCTTTATTGCTACAGTGTAGTTAGTTGCTTGATATCCCCATGCACGTGCATGCTTCATCTTTCTACTTCTGTATTAAATATTGGGAAGTACTTTGTAAATGAAATAGCATACGTGAAACTTTGCTGCATATTGGTAGTCATGGCTTTTGTTACTAAGCATAATGACTAAAACCGTTTGGTACTAAATTATCCTTTTTGTATTATTAATGTCATACTGTACTTAGTTCATACCGATGTACATTACCACTTTATAAACATTTCACGCAAGTGACTTGATTTCGATGGATCACATGTTTTGTTATTAAATACTGTTAGCTTTTGTTTGGTGTCTTTGCTCCTTAATTTTACCCTTAGAATAAGTGAACACCTTAAAATAAGATAGTATTTTGTCAAGTGAACCAAAAGCAGGTTACAAGAAGGACTGAATGTGTTATCTTTACATGAGATAGTATATTGTCAAGTGAACCAAAGCGGGTTACAAGAAGGACTGAATGTGTTGCCCCTACATCAGATAGTATATTGTCAAGTGAACCAAAGCGGGTTACAAGAAGGACTGAATGTGTTGCCCCTACATCAGATAGTATATTGTCAAGTGAACCAAAGCGTTACAAGAAGGACTGAATGTGTTGCCTTTACATGAGATAGTATATTGCCAAGTGAGCCAAAAGCGGGTTACAAGAAGGAACAAATGTGTTGCCCTTACATAAGGGACAACATGATATGTGCATGTAGATGAAGGATTGCTACAACTAGTTATGTGTATTTAATAATTATCGATGAATCGCCTGTTGAATACAATTGCTTGAAACTGGTGCAATGCAGAAGATAGAATTATGAGGCTAATTAAACCCGATACCTGATTTATTAACAGATGATTCAAAATTGGTTTAGTTGTGTTGAATGGCACTGATGATGCGCGTAATAATTTACCTGTGTTGTATTGACTCATGATACACATAACGATTTTGTTGTATTGCATGACATATGGTACGCACAAAGACATTGTCGTTTAATATTGACCCACATGATATGATACACACAATGACTTTGTTGTTTAATATTGACAAACATAATACTCATAATGACATTGTTGTTTAATATTGACACAGATGATGCGCATAATGACATTGTTATTTAATATTGACGCAGATGATACGCATAATGGTGTATCCGAGTACGTCAACTCAGTCATCTGAGAGGAACATTTGTAAATGCATTTTCAATGCATTCGTCAAAGCACGTAAACGAAAAATAAAGTAGTTGATTTAAACTCTAAGGGAAAATAAATCCATTTCAAAGAGCATTTTAAGTGCATTTTCAAATGATTTGAAACGCTTTTTGGCGTATTTGAATATTTTAGCGTCTGCACTTGGTTCTTGTTTTTCATTGTCAATGTTAACTCGTATACGTTGCAAATTACACATTATATCGTAGAAACCTTGCGCGGTATAGAAATTTGAGTGGAAATTAGGTATCTCTCTAACCAAGACAAAAGGGAACGCATTACATAAAATTCATAAAAGATACACAACAGAAAATAAACATCAAGGTAATAATTGATTGTTACAATAATATGTTGTCTTGTCTTTATCCTTTTGCGTTGACATATAAGAAAACGTGACCAAGTCTCAACATAAAATGTAACATCACCAGTTTCCTCTTTACTCTCTTAGCAAAGAATTACATCGATATGAATTGCGAAAAGAATGATGAATATGTATAATTTCATTATAGTACGTTATAATGATAAATAATACTGATTTGATTTTCCACCTGCAGATTTTCAACATGGCTTCTTGGCTGAATCAGATTGTACAACATTTCTGCAGAAAGACACATTTTCACGGGAGATATTTTTGTCACTACTCAGGTATCTTTGATGCTGTCACTACTCAGCTATCTTTGATGGTAATGTTGGCTTTTAATGTCAACACCTGAACGGTGTAGTGTTAAAGGTCAACTTCATCAAAAGTGGTTTCTTTATTTGAGAAATTTCCAATTGCATGATTATATAGATAGCAAAACTGATATTTGAAAAATAAAATGAGCCAACAATTACAGCAGTTACAGAATCAAACGACAGCAAATGAATAAATAAACAACAGTTTATTTTAGCAGCAACAGAAACAAAGAATAAGCAACGGCAACAATACTATTAGCACGATCATCACAACAACAGCAACAACCACCACTACTACAATAATAAGTAACAGCTATATCTGACATTAAGCCTAATGAGAACTGGATGCAATTTAGGACCATATATAAAGCACGAAGAGTATCGTAGATTTCAAGAGTTTTAAAGTTATAACACAAGGGCTAAGTTCTAGGGTATGAATTTTTACCCTCTGGTAAATGTCAGTTTCATATATAATTGTTTTATATGCTTAGTAAAAATCTATTTGATTACTGTTCTAGGATGTCAATACTTTCTAAATATTATTACCCATGGAATAGCTTTTTGATGGAGGGAAATACACTGAGGTATCATATACCATACCCCAATAAAATGTGTTGAAATATAAATCAACTGTAAAAGTTATTGACTTTAAGACCTTTAAAACATTTCTCTCAGGAGTTATTTAAATTCTATGTAAAATCACTCCCATCCTACATTTCCTCACCAAAAGCGACACGAACACCGAAAGCGCTGGCACAGTCTGCACCCATGGAATGAACCAAGGCTTATATGCCTAATTCTAACAATGTAGGAGATCATTATATGATAATGTAAACGTACGTATAGATGGACGGACATCATCGCAATGTTCCTAACGTATTTAAAATCGCAGAAATATTACTAATAATAAAGAATGTCATCTTTAAAATTCAGTGTCTATATGTTTCCTAATCATTTACAGGGAGCAAGAAACTGCATGGGGTCGCCAGAGCAACATCTTTTGAGTAAGTTTTTGTTTTAATACTACTTCCGAAGATAACTACGTTTGCAATCGAGATAATTCACCAATCAAATTGCTGCTTCTATATTTCTGACACTTCAGTCGCAGCACATTGTTACTGTCGATAACACTGCCTATCAGATATCCATTATATCAAAGATTTCGAGTTTATTCAGATTTTATAAATGTATTGCTTCTAATTATGACGCGTATCTTAACAGGACTTACACCTTTCCCTTGACATATTAAGAAGGTTACCATAGCTGGACTTACACGGTTCCCTGGACATATTGTGACGCTTACCATAACAGGAATACTCTATTCCCTTGAAATATTATACCTCTGACCATAGCAGGAACTGCACTATTCTATTTACATATTATGACGCTTATCATAACAGGACCTACTCTATTCCTACTGCATACCATGACACTAACTATAACGGAGACTGACACTGTATGACGCTTACCATAACAAGACCTATTATGTTTTCTTGACATTTTATGACGCTTACCATAGCAGGAACTACACTGTGCCATTAAGATATTCTGACGCTAACCATAACAGAACCCTTGCTGTACCATTGACATATCGTGACGCTGATAGTAAGACCTATACTGTTCCCTAGATATATTCTGACCTTGACATAACAGGATCTACGCTGTTCCCTTGACATATTATGACGCTTATCATAACAAGAATTACGCTCTACCCATGACATATTATGTAGAAGAAACGGTGTAGGCTC